TAGCAGAATGATTTTGGGTGACATCTTATTTTGACACATATTTTGAAAAAATGCTTTCAATTAAAAACAAAAAACCAAAAACAATACACTCTGGGCAAATTTACTACCCTTTTGTTATGTTTAGGGTGAAAACATCCACCGCATTAAACTGCTGTAAAAATGCAGCATAAATCTTTTTGCATAAATTTGTTAATAAACTTCAGTCCTGATCAAATCTTTAATGGCCAAATGCATAATTATATCAGTGATTTGGTGAAAAAAAAAAAACACACAAAATGCCTTATTTTTTTAATCTAAAAAGTAATTGTGGACTGAATTTGTTTTACTTTTTATCAAAGTCTTGGACATGTGACACAACACTGGCTTTGATGCATAGTTTTTGATTTTTTTTTCTCCTTAATTTACTGTTGCTGGCTGTTTTTGCCCCATTGACTTCCACATTTTTATACTGCAAAACCATGACAGCAAATAATCATGCATTTTGATTGTTGGTGGTTTTCCCTGTTGGGAAGAGGTCAAATTTGTAATTTTGTCTGTTGATAATCAGTTGGCATTTCAGTTGGCATTCATTTAAAATATGCATTTCAGCTCTAAGAACTAGATGGAGTAAACAAAAACAAAGACTGCGTATTTATGCACCATCAAATGTGGTTCGAATGGAGGGCAATGGGGCAAAAACAGCCACTAACAATGCATCAAAGCCAATGCTTTTAATAATCTTTTACATGTCCAAGAATGTGATAAAAGGTAAAAAACAAATTCAGTCCACAATTACTTTTTATATTGAAAATACATTATTTTGTGTCTTTTTCACCAAATCAGAAACATAATTTATAAATTTGTGAGTCCTGTAATTTTCTAAACAATTTGGTAGTTTTGATCAGGACAGAGGTTGGGGAATCAAGACTAGGCATGGGCTGATATAAGATTCTGCTGGTATGATAACCTTGGATAAAAATATCATGGTTTCATGGTATCATGGTCTTGTGATTACTGCTCTAAAATATGTTCTTTTTAATTGTCTGGGTAAAAAACAAACAAACAAAAAAATCCCTTTTCGAGCACAATATATTTTATTTTGAGAAACATTTAAAATATTTTAAAGCAGTAAACATGTCAGGCTAAATGAATTAGAAGTTTCTACTCTCTTCATTTATTTTAAAAACAGATTTCTTTACAATTTTCAAACGGCATCTTTGCATATTTTTTTCTCCTGGAGATACTGACAATTTTAACGATTTTAAAACCTTGGCTTTTTCAAACCGCGGTATACCTTGAAAATGGTTATCGTCCTAAACAGGACAGAATTATGCAAAAAAAATTATAATTATCTGATGCATAATTTTACAGCAGTTTAATTCAGTTGATGTTTTTATCCCAAACATAACAAAAGGATAATTTAAAGAGTAAACAAGGGTTAAAAAAATGTATGTATGTTGAGTGATCCCAAACTGAGAAACCGAAATCTTTCTAAAATATAGTGCATTATACATATGTAGGAATTATGGATTGTTCATTGATGTTGCAGTCATGTGAACTTTGAGGTAAAAGTCCAAAAATAATAATGCTGGTTTTGTTTTTAAGTGGGTTTTTTTTTTTTTTTGGTCTCAAATGAATATTTCAGAACATCTGGAATCTCTTCTTTAAATAAATGTCATTATATCTATTGCAGAAAAACACATGAATTTCAAATCCAAAAACACACACGGTCACATGATAAAACCACAACTGTAACATGTTACACATGTGAAACATGTACTTTGCACATGAGAGGTTTTGAAACAATTTAATGGTGTAAATGTGTGAATTCCCATGTGGAAAACATGGAAAATTTGCATGGGAATTTTTCTGCATTATCTTTTATTTATTTATTTTTGGCCTTTTTTTTGATAGGACAGTATTGAGACAAAAGTGAAGTGGGAGAGAGAGGGGGTAGGGTAGGGAAATGTCCTCGAGCCGGGATTCGAACTCGCGACACCCTGATGTGCTACTGCACCATATGTCGGCGCACTAACCCCTAGGCTATTGCACCGACCCGCAAAGGCTTTCATATAGTAACTATTGTGTAATTTATAATTATATAATTGTGCATGCTGTCACGATTTACAACTTACCATATAGTGTCTAACAAAAAATGAATATATTTTTATTTACTTACATTAAGAAAGATTTTTGTGAAGGTCTTTGCTGAGTTATTTCTAAAATTAATAAATAAAATTTTGTCAAAAATGATTTCTGGATTGCCAAACTGTTTTAGGTTGGATGTATTGGCTTGTCCCTAAAATAATGTCTAAATACGAAATGCATTATGTGAAATTTTTGGAAAGGACAGTAAACTGGCTTAAACCCCATGCTTCTTCATCCAAGCATTTAATAGTGCAGAGATGTTTCTGATTATTAGCCTGATGTGAGTAAAAATGCAGTGAGACTCAGCTGGCAGGAATGTTTATCCTGTGACTTAAGCTTAACAATATGGTTTCAGGCGTCAAATTATTGAAGGTCTTTAGTCAGAACGGCAGCGTGTCCACATGGAAATCCCAGCACTGTCTGTATGAAAGTAGTGTTCAGTAGCGCTGGACAGATCAGGAGCTGGGTCATATGGCAGTCGTGTGGGTCGTGTGAAGATGTGGACCACGAGGGCTCTTGGGGAACTTGAGTGTTTGTGTGTATATTAATGTCCATTAGCTTGTGCTTTTAAGTGTGCGCGACCCCTCTGGTTCACTGTTTTCCATTTCTCTGACCCTGTATCTCCGCACTTGCGTTCACAGAAAATTTGCTTGCATCTGGAGGAGCATTTCCGATTTCCGACTGCTGCCAAATCTCGTCTTTGTCTGTCTTGTCTTTTCTTAGCACTGTCTCATCTCTCTTTGTAGTTTCACCATATCCATGTGGAGATGAAAAGCGCACTGGAACACGGTGTACAATACGAGTTTAAAGCTCTTGAGATTAATCTGATAGTGCTTTATTTATCTGATTACAATGACATGCTCTTTAATGGACTGTTTAATAAATTGCCATTTGTTCCAGTAAGCATTAAAAAGTCTTTTATATTAGCTCTGTTTAAATAATCAGGTTAAATGCTCATTCATTAAAGCAGCCACAGATGTTTCTTTTTAATTTAAAGATCTGTCTGCTTGTTATTATTTATTTATTTATTTATTTATTTTGATTATCAAGTCACAAAACACACACAAACATACAAACACTTGTACATTTATTGTTATGGAAATTATTTCTACTGTATGTACATTTTAAACTATTACCCCAATTTGTCCCTTACAAAAAATAACTGCAGTAAACTGAAGTAAAACTGCAGTATAACTGCAGTACAACAGCAGTATATAGAACTATAACTGCAGTAAAATTAAATACAATTGCAATATTGCAATACAATGAAGTATAAACACAGTTTAAATATAGTAAAATAAAGTTCAACAGCATTATAAGTTGCTCTAAACTGCAGTAAAAACAAGTAAACTCTGTCTTTATAGCACATTTGCTGCTGTAGTCTAATATGCCAATGGTGTGGTAAAAAAATGTACTGCACTTCTGTTCCAAGGGGTTTGTTCTTCAACATCTTCCAAGAATATTTAGTACTTTTTTCAGGGATGTTTTTGGATTCAAGTCATTTTCTAATTAGAATTTTGAGAGGTTTTTCTTTTTTTTTTTCTTTTTTTTTTTTTTGCAAAAACAAATAATAAAAAATAACTGCAGTGAACTGAACAGTACAACAGCAGCAGTAGCCTATATACAAGGATAATATAATATAATATAAAATAATATAATATAATATAATATAATATAACATTCATTCATTCATTTTCTTGTCGGCTTAGTCCCATTATTAATTTGAGGTCGCCACAGCGGAATCAACCGCCAACTTATCCAGCACATTTTTACGCAGCGGATGCCTTTCAAGCCGCAACCCATCTCTGTGAAAAATCTACAAACACACACACACACACACACACACACACACACACACACACACACACACACACACACACACATACTCATACATCACAGACAATTTTGCGTACCCAATTCACCTGTACCGCATGTCTTTGGACTGTGGGGGAAACCAGAGCACCCGGAGGAAACCCACGCGAACGCAGGGAGAACATGCAAACTCCACACAGAAAGACCAACTGAGCCAAGGTTCGACCCAGCGACCTTCTTGCTGTGAGGCGACAGCACTACCTACTGCGCCACTGCGTCACCATAATATAATATAATATAATATAATATAATATAATATAATATAATATAATATAATATAATATAATTTAATATAATATAATATAATATTCAATGCAACTGCAAAATTGCAGCATAATGAGGTATAAACACAGTTCAACTACAATGCAATAAGTTCAACAACTGTAAAATGGGCAGTACAACTGAATTGACATTACATAAACTGAGAGGGGCTATAGTGATTTGTTATATAATTTATTGCACTTATGTACATTAGTATTAAAGGTGCACTTTAGTTTTATTATATATTGCAGCATTGGAGACGTATTTCTGTAGTTAGTTATACTATAGAAAAGTGCAATACAAAATACTGTGGTAGTACTTCAGCAGTACAATTAAAGTACTGAAACCTCATTTGGAAACCCTTGTCTACTGAGCAGGAAAAGTAGTAGTTGTACTGCAGTTGTATTGTAATAGTATTTCAGTTGTATTGCATTAGCGCTATGGCAGTTGTACTGTAGTAGTACATTAGTTGTATTGCAGTAGCAGTACTGCCTTACAGTAGCTGTAGTACTTCAGTACCACTGCAGTAGTTTTACTGCATTATAGTAGTACTAGTAGTATCACTTCAGTACTATTGCAGTAGTTTTACTACATTAGTAGGATCACTTCAGTACTATTGCAGTTACACTTTTTTGTGTGCTAGACTTTTTTTTTATCATGGAATTCACCCACTTAGGGTTTGGACTTAAACTGTTCTGCTACTTATCCTCTGACCTCTCTGTGTTTTATTGTAACCACAGGAGTTTGAGAATGCAGAGGGAGAGGAATATCCAGCGGACATGTCCACCCCGGCATCTCCTGCATCTCACAGCGGTCCTGACGTCTACATCCTGCCTCTCACCGAGGTCTCGCTGCCTGTCGCAAAGCAACCTGGCCGATCAGGTGGGTCTATGTCTCGTGATTATTAAAAAGAAGCTTTCTGTATGAGCAGGACCAGATGCCATAGCATTTAAGAAAGTGCGAGGGTGTGAAGGATTTCCTCCCAGTCCTGAATCCGCTCTGACCTCACTTATGCAACTCCCATACGAGATTCACATTCTCTGGATAGATTTTTTCTTCTTCCAGCGGATATTGTTAATGTGTTCAGTCCTGCTTCCAACCCACAAGATCTCCAGTGTAAAATCCAGAGGAGACCAACGCCCTGCTTCCTCCTCCACTTTTCCCTCATGGGGTAGACACTCTCCCACAACCTTGCCCTGCTCTGGACCTTCACAAAGCAGACCAGATGCTAGTGATGATGGCTATTGGAGCTGTGCAAAGTTAAACAACCGACCTTACTGTTTATTGAACTAAATTAGCCACACCCTACAGCAGGAATTATACACGCTGCAAATGCCTTTTTTTAGGTAATTGATTGCATTGATATTCATGTGCATCCCTATGTTTTGATTGAACTTTTAATATTTCACCCTCATTTGCTTTCAGAAATCTACACTTGTGACCATTAGAGCATAGATATTCCCACATTTAAAACAAAAACCTGATATCACCAAGTAGGACATGTTTCTGGGTTAACATCTATGTTGATCCTGGAACAACATTCTAATCAGCCAATCAGAATTAAGGGATGCAATTACCGTTTATGTTAATGGACTTCTATATGATTGTTATCCAACTATTATTACCCTCTGATTTTGGGAATACTTTACAGTTATTGTTGGGTTTAGGGGTAGGGAATAGGTATGGATTACATTTTCAAACAAAAATTACGTTGAAGGATCAACATGTCAATCCAGGATCCCATCATACTTTGCAAAATCATGACGTGCATGTGACATTATGTAAACAAAAGGGGTGAGAGTCCCCATGATATGATATTATCATAATAGGGGTTGCCAAAGAGGAATGAACCGCCAACTTATCCAGCATATATTTTATGCAGAGGATTTGCTTCAAGCCGCAACCCTGTACTGGGAAAAACAATATATTGCCATTTACTATCATTTTCCAACTTTTTTTTTCTTTTTTTTTTAGAGACAGATTATATTTCCAAATGTAAATTTTGCCAACTTCTTCTAACCTAATTTCCTTTTTTTCTATTTTAACTAAACAGAAACATTTCTTAGTTTGTGTATCTCATTTTAGTTATACTTCTGTACTGCAAATAACTTAGATTGGCAAGCAGAAAAAAGACCAACACTTTAATAAAAAGCTGTATTAAATATTGCATAAGTGATGCTACCCTATATATTTTACTATGACACCACTAACTAAAAGGAAAACTCACCAACATCTACTCTAGTGGAGTGTAAAGTAATTGAATTCAAAATTTAACCAAAAATATATATAAAATATGACGCGACACTATGGCGTATTGATATTTTCCCCCACCCCAAGAAAAAATTTTTTAAAGGTTAAAACTGAATCATTTTTGTTTGTTATTATAAGGATGCTGTTAAAGAAATCTACATCAATGAAAGTGCTAAAGAAATTATAAGATATTATGCTTTATAAGTACTTTAGCCGTTTAAATCAAAGTTGATATTTAGCCGCACCATATTAGTGTTTTGCAACATCTAATTTTTACGAGGTGGGTCATTAGCCCAACACTCAACCCCTAACCTGGAGGACCAGGACATACACACATACACTACAGAAAATTTTGCTTACTCAATTCACCTGTACCGCATGTCTTTGGACTTGTGGGGGAAACCGGAGCACCCAGAGGAAACCCACACCAACATGGGGAGAACATGCAAACTCCACACTGAAATGCCAACTATTCCAGCAGGGGCTTAAACTAGCGACCTCACTGCGCCACCGTGACACCATATTATACTTTTTTATTTTCATTTTTTTGACATTGATATTCATTCGTTTTCTTTTCGGCTTCGTCATTTTTTATTTGGGGTCGCCACAGTGGAATGAACCACCAACTTATCCAGCATATGTTTTACACAGTGGATGCCCTTCCAGCTGCAACCCATCACTGGGAAAAATCCACTCACTCTCATTCACAAACATGCACTACGGACAGTTTAGCTTACTCGATTCACTTATAGCACTTGTCTTTGGACTGTGGGGGAAACCGGAGCACCCAGAGAAAACCCAAGTGAACATGGGGAGAACATGCAAACACAAATGCCAACTCAAACCAGTCGAGGCTCAAACCACCGACCTTCTTGCTGTGGGGCGACAGCGCTACCCACTGTGCCACCGTGGTGCCAAATTTAAGATTAACTTTATTTACGTTGACACTAAAGAGTTTAAAGCATTCTTACATATTAAAACATGTTTGTGTAAAATATTTTACTAATTAACTTTATTTTTGTTACCCCACCAACATTTTCGCATTTACCAATTTAAAACCCAAACCATTTTGCTCCCAAGCATTGTTTTTTTTTTTATTAGTCTATTGTTTACCGTCTTTCTCTCTCTTGGTCCGTCTCAATCCACACAAACATCTGCCTGTTGCGTAATGCCGCCTCAGCCGGCCTACATAAGTATGGCTTGGAATCTGAGGAATCCGAGAAACGATGTGTACAGTCTGAGATTCATGGATACTCTCGGTCTCTCTCTTTCCCACAACAACTACTCATTTGATTATACCCTGACTGTGAAGCTAGCAGCTAATGTGGTGTGATTAGTCAAGGTCAACAGGCTAAGAGGCTGTGGTTATCCAGATCCAGCTCACACATCACTCATATAGAAACTTCGCTCTAGCATTTCATTAGCACTTTAACTGAATAATAGATGCAATATTTTGACATATATTAACATTTATTAATCCCAGTACGATTTGCTCATGGTAGAGGTTTATAAGCCCATCTGGAAGAACCATAAACGGGCCTTTTTTTTTTTTTTTTTTTTAAGGAGTGGCTGGAATGATGTCACTCCTTAAGGATGAGGTTGATGTAATATATACAAAGGTCTTGCCAGGAAGTGCAGGTCTCAGTCACTGTGACACCGTTAGCATCTGTCTGCAATCAGACCTGTCTTTCTTCTCCTGGGACGTCAGCTAGACAAATGAAGAAGCTAATTGTAGTGTTTATTATGCGATTTGAGTGCTTTCAGCCAAACAGATCATGCATTGCACTCTGGTGTGCAGTGTCCGCCCCTACACAGCTGTGCTCATAAACACACCCTCACACAGACACACATTTGAGCGTGCAAAATACTCAAAAGATCACATCACTTAATATGTAACATGCACACACCCTCGTTTATCACACTCACTTCATTAAAATGCATGACGGAAATATTATTCAAACTGATTTGCATTGCTGAGGAAAGTATACTGATGAATAAAGCAAGAGGTGCATGGCAGCGGTAAACACATTTCACCCTGTTTGATAATGTATGATAATTGTCTTTGGTTGGAGTGGAATGGTTTCTCTCCATTATTTCTCCCAGCGATCGCATTCCCAGCAGCCATCTGGCTTGCGTGTCAGTGTCACTGACCAACACTGCGCTAATGACCAAGCCAGGCAGTCAACCAGACATTCAAATACATGATGAGTGAATTCTGATATATGATAGGATTTTTGTTGATACTGTTGTCATGTTGTTGGCGGAGGTCTGTGTTTTTCAATTCAGTGTTGTTTTGTTCATGAGTTTTCAATGCTAAGATTTTGTGGGAGGTGCAGTTATAGTGGTGGTTTGTGTGTGTGTGTGCGTGCACCAGTGGTAATGAGGACACATTTGCATAATGACATGGGCAAGGCCAAAGTCCCTTTAAGGCAGGGTTCTCGAACTTAAATTGGCGGGGGGCCATTTTTGGTGCATGACAATTCAAAGAAGGGCCGTTTTAACAATCAAGCACAAAAATAAAATGTGGAAACCTGTCATCATTGATGCATCTTAGGACAACAGACATGACGTTTATATTTCAAGCATTACCTGTCATCAGTGCTAATGCAAATCCGCACGGTTATCGTGTCACACATCAGCTGCTGAAATATATCTGTGGTTGTGTGTATGATCGAGCGTTAAACACACACTCAGTCATTCTTCCACAGAGTATATGCAGTCACAACTCAAGCATTTTGTTTCCTGTTGTACATATTGAAGGGGTAGTTTAAATTGCTATTAAAATACTACAAATAATAAGAATAATAATTATTATTCTGTCCAAACCGATTGTATTGTCCCAGTAAGAACAGCAGAAAGCAGTTTGGGTAGCTTATGTGACTTTACTGGCAATTGTTCTTCTCAATGTCTTTCTTTTTTGTAAAGCTACAACAAGAGGGGAAAAGGTTGTACATATTTACTTTAGTAAGTTCAATTCAACTAGCAGGACAATTTTATGAATGTACATAGTTTTTATGCAAATCTTAATAAGTATATGAGGAAAATCTATTGAATGAGAACATTATCAAAATATATTGCTATTGAATATAATCATATTATCGAATATTATCAAAATTATCATATTTGTTACACTAACAGCATAACGTGTAAGTCATAAAGAAGTTTTTGTACAACAAAATACAAGTGATATAAAACTGATAATAATTAAAAAAAAACCTTGAATATTTACAAAAATAGAGCTTTAGTAAAAAATAGAGCACTTATGGGCATATTTTTCAACGTTTAAATCAGCCACAAAATTAAAACATACATGTTACTCTCGACTGTACATTGAGAGAAAATGAAAGTAAAACTAATCTGAATGCAGAACTTTAAATGTCCAGTAGGTGGCGGGTCAAAACCACAAGTGGCTAGACGCGACTGCACAACAATGATGGGTTCAAAAATATATGTTTTGGCGGGTCGTATCTTGTTATATTTTTGACGTCAGTTGCGTGCCGGAGGAAGGAGCAGGGTGGGCCGTAAATATCCTATGGGCCGGCAATTTGAGACCCCTGCTTTAAGGCAAGTAATTTATCGGTGGCAAAACATCAAATTCTACAAAATTGTTTGCCAAGCTTACAATTAAATTT